CAATGAAAGTAGAAATCAGTGGCAAAAGAAACCACAGTAATTATTTGTTTTCTTTTTCTTTTTTATTTAAAGAGAGAAGAAAAAAAGAAAAAGAAAGGACATAAAAAACAATGCAGTAAAAGGATACAAATAATACAGTATTTCTAGAAAAAAATATATATAGTAAGAAATCACCAGTTAATAGGTTACATATTATCTTCCCAGAAACAGTTATCCATATCACTAAATTAAAGCATATAAAGTGAACATTCATACAATGAAATTGGAGACAGTTCCGTTCAATGATCCAACAAAAGCTCAGTTATATGGTTTTCCATCCTACACTCTCAAACATACCTGCGGTTATATCCCTTAGTCCACTTTTCCTCTTTTTTTTACAGTAACAATTAGAATTTTAGGGTTTTATTACTCTCACGGTTCTTACTACTTTTTTGAAGAGAATAAAAACAAATGTGACTAAGCAAAACAGAGTCAGTTAGAACAGAAGGGTGGGCATAGCACGTGATGCAAAAATAGAATACCAGGTGATCAAAAGTGGTTACCATTGTGCCTCTTGCTATTTTTAAATTGAGTTGTCTATATCATCAGGAATAATAGAATTGATCAAAACAGTACAGAACAAAACCAATAAAATCTACACTGAGGACCTTACAGGACTTCAAAAAAAAGGATGACAGTCAATCCATATTGGGCATCATACTGTATCTTATTGCCTTCAAAGTGATTGCCTATACCCTCAAACTTGATACTATCAAACAAAATAGAATATATAATAATCAGACAGAACAAGATGGGGAGAGCAATACTGGGGTTCAAGTCAGGTTAATACGACAACAAAAAAGTTACTATAATATGTCCCGTTATTAATTTAGTTTTCCCTTAATTAAAAAAATGAGAGAAAATAGATTAATTTAAAAATAGGGGGAAGATTGAGATAAGAGAGGACATTGTAATAGAACAACACAGAGCAGAACCGAGCAATTCAAGCATCATTGTGTTTCACCACCAGACAGAAATTCTTTAAACCCATAGAAATCAAACAATACTCTCTTGAATAATGAGATCTTGGCAGAAATTAAGTTCTTAGAATCAAATGATTATGTAAATAAAACGTACTAGAACTAATGAGACACAATGAAAGCTGTCCTAAGAGAGAAGTTTATAGCTGTGAATAAGCACATCAGAAAAACAGAATGCGTTCAAATGAAATAAACTTTTGGTTATTTCTATCTCAAGACCGTAGAAAAACAAGAACAACCCAAACCCAAAGATAGCATTAGCAAGGCAATTATAAAGACTAAGCAGTGATAAATAAAATTGAGCCTAAAAAATTACAAAGAATCAATGACTTGGACAGCTGGTGCTTTGAAACACTAAACAAAATAGACAAACTCTTAACCAATCGTATCGAAACCAAAAAAGACCCAAATCAATACAATGAGAAATGGAAAAGGTGAAATCACAAAAGACTGTGCTAAAATCTAGACTATCATGGAAAACTACTTTGAGAATCTGTACTAAAAAAGGAAAATTCAGAAGAAATTGATAGGTATCTAAATACATATGAACAAAGCTCAATCGAGAAGATATAAAAATCCTGACTGATTTAACATCTGTCAATGAAACTGAAAATTAAAAAGCTACTAACTAAGAAAAGCCCAGGTCTTGACAAAATCACTTGGCAAATTCTACTAAATTCTACTAAAACTTTGGAGAAGCTCTAACACCAGTACTCTTCAAACTGTTTAACAAAATCGAAAGGGAACTACTACTTCCAAACTAATTCCCAGAAAAAACCATTAACCTGATTCCCAAACCAGAAAAGGACCCAACCAGAAACCAAGCTCTTCAATGAACATTTATGCAAAAATCTTCAATAAGATATTAGCAAACAGAATGCAACAAATCATCAAAAAGATCATAAAGCAATCACCAAAGGATGCAGGGATGGTCCAACACATGCAAATCAATAAATATAACCTACCACACAAACAGAAGCAAAGACAAAAGTCACTCTCAAGAGATGCAGAAAAAGCACTTGACAAAATCCAACATCCATTCATAATAACAATCCTGAAGTCACTGTACAGAAAGTCTTTATTTCAATCTGTTCAAACCTGTTCATGACAAAACCAAAAGTCATCTATTGAGTGAAGAGAAGCTAAAGTTTATTCTGTAAGATCAGGAATGAGACAAAGATGTCAACTGTCAACACTACTGTTCAATATAGTTCTCAAAATGCTGGTCAGAGCAATCACAGTAGAGAAGGAAATAAAAGGGATATTACAGGAAAATAAGAAATTAAATTATTAAAATATTTGCAGATGACATGATCCTCTACAGATCCCCAAAACTTCACCAAAAAACTCCTAGAAAAACAAGTTCACAATGGGGCTCTAATCTGTATGTCTTGCTACCACTGATGGTACATGCAATCACCATGGATAGCATACGACAGGCATGCATATACTACCAGTGGTACAAACTGCGTATTTTAACCTCTTGTTATATAAGAAAACTATACCTATATGCTTCACTCATTATTATATTATTTATACCTGAAAATATTTGTGATACAATTTATAGAAACTGTTATAGTTTGTTCTAGTCCATCTCCCCAAGTCTCATGCAGTTATAGAAATGCTGAATCTAGCATTGGTGACTGGTTCATTTGTCTAGCACTGGGATTGGTGGTGTGAATGCTGCACCCGCTCAGGGGCAGAGCCAGCATACAGTATAAGTGAGGGAAGAAGGTATGTCCCCGCCTTTTGGCCCTTCGCTCTTGCTGTCTGCAACTTCCATGAATGGCTATCCCTTAGCCACACCAGCCTGTCTTGGAACCAGCTGAGTATGGACTAAAACCTCCACAACAGTAAGAAATAAACCTTTCCTTGCTTCACTTTGTGTGTCAGGTATTTGTCCCAGCAACAAGAGAAAAGTAACCAAGATAGAATTTGGTATCAGTGGAGTGGGGTTGTTGCTGTGACTGTACCTGACAATGTGATTCAAGAGTTTTTGGGAGTGGCTTATGGGAAGTTTGGAAAGGTTTGGAGATGTTCCTGAATGCATAGAGCTGGAACAGCTTAGGCGTTCGGTAGAGGAGATTGTGGTCAGACCTCAAGAGACCAGAAGGTTGACAGAAAGCCTGCTGGTGAAGACCAGGTTCAGCAGATTTCTTCTAGAAAGGACTGCACTGGTTGTTGGACTCCATATGATATGTGGTATGGCTTGGCAGAAAGTTTACATTTTGTTTATGTCCAAAGACTTTGCCTGAGACTGAGATTAAGGGCAGTGGACTAACTAATCTGGCAGAAGAAATTTCAAGGCAGTGGCAAGTTTTTGGGGGCTTTTAGCCAGATTTATGTTGCAAATCAAGAACAAAGAGCCTAGCATGGTGATTTAAAACACTGTAAGTTTGGTTAGAAAGCTGTGGACTGTAAAGATAAAGGTGAGATCTAAACTGCTGAAAAGGAATAGAGAAATAAAAAAGACAGGCTGCACAGAATGCATATTCATGGGGAACCTGGCACCAAACCATTCATGGATGACCAGTTTCTGGGGTGGGGTTTCCTATACTGCAGAATAGCTCCCTCACTACTATCTATTGAAAATCAGCCCTCAATATGAGGTTTTAAAAAAAAGCCTGGAGGCATCATGGGAAGTAATGGTAGGTATCCACTCTTTGCAGCCTCACAGACTTTGATCAGCAGAGAAAGCTGCAGAGTGCCATGTTCCAGAATGGCAGTGGAGGCCACAAACAGTCTCCAAAATGGCAGTGGCCACACCAGGTTCCAGAATGGATCTATTCCTCACAATCAGGTTCAGGTGTCCAGCAATCCAGGCACTTGACCCCTACAACCAAGAGAGAGGAAAGCCTGGCTACTGCTCCAGCTGACAGCAGACCTTGACATCATTCATGTGGTGCTGGTGGTAGGTGTATGGAGAATACATGAGTTCTTAAGTTGAAAAGTCTTCCACCCCAACTGCAGAAGGCCTGGGAGGCCAAGCAGTGTGCGCCTGGGAGGGCAGAGTGTGAAGCTGTGAGTGTCAAGCCAAAGGTGCAGTGGAGACCCCAGAAGTTTGAAAAAGCCAGGAGTGTGGATTGTCTAAGGAAAGCTACAAGGATTAAGCACAGGGGGCCTAAGAAAGAAGCTGTGGGGGCTGAAACCCCTGTAAGTGCCATGGGGGTGGAGTCACTTAAGCCTTTTGGAGCACGCAACCAGACTGCTTTCAGATGCTGAGCATGGAACTCCAGGACTTAATTTTGCCCTACTGGATTTTGGACTTTGGTCCCAATCCTTTGTATTCCCATTTATACCATTTGGAATGGAAATGTTTATCTTGTGCCACTGAATGTTGGAAATGTTTGACTTTGTTTTCATCTGTATAGGGGCTTGCAGCTAAGGGTTTGTCTTAGATCTCTGAGGAGACTTGGACTTTTCAGCAATGCTGAAAGTGTTACAACTTTGGCAACTCTTGGAGATGAACTAAATATCTTTTGCATAAAGGAAGTACATGAGTCTTTGGGGGACCAGGGGTGGAATGTTATGGTTTGTGTCTAGGTGGTTCCCCCAAGCCTCATGCAGTCATGCAGGTGCTGAATCTAGCATTTGTGATTGGTTTGTCTAGCACTGGAATTGGGGGTGTGAATGCTGCATCCACCCAGGGGTGGAGCCGGCATAAAATATAAGGGAGGGAAGAAGGCATGACCCCTCTTTTGCCCTTTTGCTCTTGCTGTTTGTAGCCACCGTGAACAGCTGCCCCTCAGCCACACCACCTTGCCTTGCTACCAGCTGAGTATGGACTGAAACCTCCAAAAACTGTAAGAAAGAAACCTGTCCTTCCTTCATTTTGGGCATCAGGTATTTTGTCTCAACAATAAGAGAAAAGTAACTGAGAAATTTTTAAGAAAAATTACAAATTTTTAATTTTAATCTGGTTTTATCCCAGACTGTTTTGTAACAGACATATATTTCATTATCTAAAAACAACCAACTTACCTCGTTCTTCCATTGATGATATTGTAGTGCAAATGTAGTAAAGTCTCTCTGAACACAGAAAAACTTGCATTTTGAAGCAGAAGAAGTATTTTTGACTTGTTCAAAGTTTTTACTAATCAACTCCAGAATCAAAGGATCAATAAGGAATACTGGTACATTTTGGCTGGATGTCAACATAATGAACTTTTTAACTGCACGCTGTTCAAGAAGAAAACAATTCCTTTACTACCACTAAATCAAACCATCACTTATTAAATATTTTTTATTAATTTCATAAGAAAGTATAGTGTTTACCCAATAGATGCCATGCTTATTAACTGCACTAAAAAAAAGGTAAATTAACACCTGTGCTTCCTGCACTCAAAAGTACCATTTTCTAAGGAAGATGAACAAATATTTACAATACAAGGTAAAATACATACAGTACACTAAAAATATCTAAAACCAACATACAGAACAGTAATTACAACATACAAATTAACAGAAAAACTCTTTACAGAAGAAGTGGCACCTGAGAAACTTTGTAAATACTCTGTGCTTACAAATTATTTTCTGGTATCGCTATATATTTTCAAGCAAAAGTGAGGGAAATTAGATCTGTCAGCTTTTAAAAGGTGTAATGTCAACTTTTCAAATTTAAAAATAAATTGTGTGTTATATTTTCATATTTATAATGTTTAGCAACACTTCTAAGCAAAGATTCAGAACAAAATACATAGCCTACTTCATCATTCCCATAGAAGATTTTCTAATAATACTTCAACATTTTTAAATATAATTCTGCTGGACAGTAAGTAAGGCCCTCTATTTAAACAAGATATTTCAAAACCAGAATAAAAATAGGTTAAATGACAGTTTAGAGTAAATTATGCCTTTGAATAGCAAAGATAAAGAGAATAACTAATACACATTAATATGCAATTTAAAGGAATGTACAGCATATCAAAAAGGTTCTACAAGGAATTAAAAATACATTTTTAAAAATTCTAACACAAAATTGGAGGAACTTATGAAAACACATATAAGATCATAAATAGACAATGACATTGAGACTCTTAAGAATAGAAAAAGAATGAAAGATAGGAATCAGGGTTTTTTTTAGTGTAGAATATTATACAAATTCCAAGAATATAATAACCTCTGCCTTCAAAATGTTTATTATTTCTTTGTGGCACAGGCATCTAAGTAAAAAGTTAAAATGAACAATTTTATGCTAAAAATAAACCAGTTGGATGAAATGGACAGCTTTCTTTAAATATATAATCTAACAAAACTACTAGGGAAGAAAGTTTTGTTATTATGTTTCTTTTTCTGTCAGAATCTTAGTCTTGTACTGAGGAAAATGAAGATAATGATATGCTGTGTATCAATCTGTTATTCTCTTTTTTTTATGGAATTTTGCTTTACTTTTTCATAAAATTAGAGGACAAGGAATCTGAATTGCCCTATACCTATTTAAAAAACTGTATTCATCATTTAAAAATGAAAGAGCTGCTCTAAAAAATAAAACAAGGGAAGAACACAAATTCTATGAAAACTTTCAGAAAACTTAGTATTTCCTAGCTGATTTTGAGGTCAACATAATACATTAGCAAACTCTCACACTATTACAATGAAAGAAAATTATATACCACCATCCTCGTGAATGGAGATATAAAAATACTTAACAAAATATTATAAAGACAATTCCAGCAATTAACAAAGCAAAGACAAAAAGTAAATATTACAACCAAGTAGTGTTTATCCCAGGAATGAAAGGTTCATTTAGCATTTGAAAGTCAATTGACATGTTTTGCCATATTTTGTAGTCTGTGGCATGTCTACTCATTTTACTAATGGGGTCTCCTCTGATGAGCAGTTTTGAATTTTGATAATACATCAATGTTTTTTCTTTTAGGGTTAATGCTTTCTGTGCTTTAGACTAGAAAAATTAAAAAATAGTTTTATGAGAAAAATGATGAGATGACTGAAAATAGTACATAGAAGGTGCTTAAATGATGGCTGGATGCACTCAGCTTAATGTGTAACAAAAATACTGTAAAGACAACTATAACTTCATTATAATCATTAATATGAATATAGATTACAGAAGGAACAAGGAGAGATTTTATAATTTATTTTTGCAAAATAGCTGCCAGGTTCTTTCCAACAGTGAGCAATGCATCTTAGAAATAGGTTGCTACTTGATTTGAATACCACTAATTCTAAATCAACATGAATATTATCATCTGGCCTTCAGTAATTCATTTTGTTTATAAGAATGAAAAATGTCTTGTTGAAATAGGATCTGGTGAGACCAAATAGCTCTTAAAACTTACCAAAACCTAAAAGGACTTGTTCTTAGCAAACGTCTAGCTCCTAATCATCATCTTTCTCTAGGTCTTAACTCATTCTAGAATTATCAGGGCTCAATATTACAGTATTGATCAGATTTTACTTTTCATTCCTTTGGGAAAAACAGAACAAAAGTGTTTCAGTATATCTTCCTTTCCTGTGGTTTTGCAAAGATTATAGTGATTCATTGACAATTACAATTTTTCTAATACCTGGCAATGTAACTGAGAACACAAAGAACAATGTAATATGGTGATTTTTAATTTTTGTTTATTTATCTTCAAAGTAAATCCTTTTAAAAAATCTGTTATTTTCACCGCACAAATCACTTTCCAAATGAAAAAGATGGGGTTGCCCTATTTTGTTATTTTATACTTTAAATTATATACTACAAACTTCATTTTAAACTACAGCAATCACCTTGGTGATAGTTCCAGCTGTTTTTGGAGGCTGAAGGAAGAGGATCACTTAAGCCCAGAAGTTTATGATGGCCCTGGGCCATCTCAAAAAATAAAATATTGTCAATCTGTATTCTGTGTGACTGCTTTAGTCACTACAAGGTAATGGGATATTGTCAGAAAATTGTCACTTAATTCATACAAAGCAGCATCTTCTAACCCCACTGAAGCTATTACAGTGTTACAATTTTTTTTCTGAACTTGTTCTTTTAGTATACATATCAAGACTTGGAATGATAAAATTTGAAAAATTTGTTACTGCTAACTATTATCATATCCTAGAACGTTAACATTCATGATATGCTCCCAATATATATCCCCAGCTGTTAAAAAATAAATTTTAAAATCTCAGTATGTTATTTAACCCATGGGAAAATAAATCTAGTTCAAATTCTTACATGTGTTTGTGCTTCTTAAGAGTGGGATGCAAGTAGAGAAGGGCTTACAGGAAGCACACAAAATAGCTTTTTTAATTTAAAGTAGTCTTTACTATAGTGAATAGGTAAAATAAATTCTAAGAATATCATGCTTCTCTTATTCTCAGACTACCTCTAATTCATTGAGCGAAATATATGCTATTTTAATTAATTACAAGTTTACATTGATATCGCTAGTTTAGACAAAGTCTGATAGCAGAATATCTCAGACTTTACTTTAAATCAGTAGTTGAAGTTCAGCTGGTGCCTCCAACGACTTAATCACTACTCAATATTTGGAAACTCTAATCTGTAGTCTTCCACATCTTTGGACACAAAGAAAGTAAAGATCAAACTGTATCCGCAAGAAATAACACATACTAACAAGATAAATATTATTTATCAGTAATGGAACATGGTTTTTCATTCTAAATTTAGTTAGAAGAAAAGCTAAAAATGCATTATTAATGTGCAGACTGTGAAAATTGGAAAGCACAGATATAATACATCTATTACTAGTTTCTTTCTTTTTATTATTAATCATTAATTTTTTCCTTATTCCTACTTCAATTCTGATTCACATGTTTATTCATTTGGGGAAGCATCACAGATCAATGAATAAGAGTTCCAGAGACAGACAAAATCTGCATTTGTCACTTATTAACCAACTGATCTCTAGTTAAATAAATTGAGAATAACAGTATGTACTGGTCCATTAAGATTTCTATAAAGACCTGCTACTAACTACCCCATTCCCTAGGTAACTGCTGTTGTTACTATCTTCATTCAGCAAATACTTAGGAAATATACAAATAAATGAACCACATGAACACTGTAATTGACAGATTTCTTATTTATTGTACATACCCACTGTGTGCTATCAAATCCAATTCTACTTCCTTTAGATTTTGATAAACCAGCTCCATTCTAGAAAAGTAACAAAAGATTTAGCAAATTAAAAGCCCTGTATGTAACACTGTATTTAGGGTAAGTACAAGAGTCAAACTGTATACAGCAATTAGCTCACAGTCATTAAAAAGCATTATCCAAATACTTATGTTTACATACCAGGAGTCAAGAATTCTCTAATTTTACAACGTAAAAATCTAACATGTAAAATACTAACAGAAGTTATTAAACAGTTATCTCTGAACCAAGTAATGCCCATCAATGAATAGCAACTCTGCTACTTCTCCGGAATCAGTTTGTCTACCTAGTTCTGTATTTCTAACCTCAACTTATTTCCATATTCCAAATTAGTGCCTGAATCCTTTGGTAAAGTGAAAAGAAAGTATATTTCCTGAGCAGCTCCTGTCAGGCACAATGGCACATCTATGTATGAATTACATATTAATGTCTATTCCTCACAATACAAAGTAGGCATTACTTCTGGTTTAGACAGTCCTGGGGCCCACACTTCTCACATTTAGCATAGTTTCAAATGTAGTTATTTCTTAAATAATATTTTAAAAAATATTTGGGCCTAGAGAATCAGGATGAAGAAAAATATCAGTTTTTATCTGATAAGCTGAAAGACCTTCAAAGTAAATCTAAAGGCAAGAGGAAGAATGTTTCAAGCTCAAAGAAGATCCAAATAAATTTCCTTTGCTTTTGACGTGTCCTTCACCTAAATGCTCAAAATGGGAAGATGCTGAAGAACAATCAGAGTAACCTCACCTTAAAAGTGAAATTAGCTCCATGTTTTTAATAATAGGAAATTTCTCGCCACTACACTCATTCTCAAGGGCAGGAACCAAGCCTACTACCGTCTTGTCTCACTAGCGCTTAGCACAGTGCTTGGTGCGCAGTAAATGCTTACTATGGTTTTGTTAATTGGAGGGAGAAGGAGGAAACAGGGATGAATACAGTGAGTGTTAAAGTAGAGCCAGAGTTCATCTTTCTTCACAAGCTTTGAAATTTAGCCAATAGGGGCTGGGGATTTAGCTCAGCAGCATAAGTCCCTGCCTTGCAAGCAGGCAGTCGTGAGTTTGATCCCCGGTACCGGTAAAAAAACGAAAAAGAAATTTAGCCAATAACATTTTAATACAAAACAGACTGGATGGCTAATACCAAAATTAAAAAAAGCAGCCTTCAAGCCTAAAGAGACTGTAAACTCTGTAATACAGGCATTTCTCGTTCACCACAGCCCTGCATTAGGAGAAAAGACTGAACTCCTGAGCTTTTGTTGAATTTGAGTTTCAGATAAGTAGATTTCTAGTGAACTAGACTATATTTTCATTGCACTATAGTTCACATACCATAAAAGTTGTGCTTTTAAAGTGTATAATTCAGTAGTTTTAATATATTTACAGAGTTGTATGACTACCATTACTACCCAGAACATTTTCATTGTGCCACAAAGAATGCATGTTCCCATGCAGCAGATACTTTCCCGTCTTCCTCCTCTCAGTCCCAATCACAACACTACTTATCCTTAATTTTTCTCCATCAATTTGCCTAGTATGGACATTTCATAAAAACAGAATCCTGGGGGCAGGGGATTCAGCTTACCAGGCCAAGTCCCAAGTGCCTGCCTGGCAAGCACAAGGTCTAGAGTTCAATCTCTGGTACCAAATTTAAAAAAAAGGAATCATGGTATGTGTCTTTCTGCATCTCAAGTCTTTCACTTAGCATAATGTGGTCCAAAGATTCATCTAGGCTGTAGGATGTAACAGTACTTAATTTCTTCTTGTGACTCAGCATTATTCTATTCCATACTCATCATTTGATGAAGACTTGAATAATTTCACATTTGGTACTTATAAACAACGTCATCAAAAACATTTATTCTAAGCCCCATCCTTGTACACACTCATAACTTGCCTCTATATCATTTTACTTGCTTAGTGAAAATAAAGTCCTCCACCTATTCTGTACATGCACCGGCACCTGCTCACTGGCGTCACTTTAAATTTATGACTACCAGTTACAAGTCAGGCCTTAAGTTTGCCCACCAACCGTGCTATCTTTCCCTCGTCCATTAATTTTCATTCTCCTAGGTAACTTTTCCGTCCTTGTCTCTTTCCAACATTTCTTCCCTATCTATCTTTATGGCATTGCTTTCTATTTCCCTGAGAAAACAGAATCCTTCTTTTGTTTGTTTGTTTTTTGTGGCACTGGGAATCAAACTCACAACCCTGTTCTTGCCAGGCAGGTGCTTATGCCGCTGAGCTTAATCCCTGGCCCAAAAACAGAGAACTTTTAAGAGCGTAAATTTACTAGAGCTTAAATATACAATGTCAAGCATTAATTAAGATCACCCATGATCTCCATACTGCTAATTTCAATAGTTATTATTAGTTTCATTTGATTATACCAAGAATTGAAATGTTCTGCCTCAATGAAACATTTCATTCATTTGACTCTCAGGATCCCCATACTTCTAGGGTTCCTACTATTTGTCTCTGGCTACTCCTTAGTTTCACTAGCTCGTTCTTTCCTCTTCCATGACACAATGAAGGGTCCCAAAGCTCAGAACCTGAGCAGGTATGTACATTTGTCTCCTCTCTTTTATCTAAACTGTAACTGTATAGGGGAAATACAATCACTGTCAAGCAATGACCCTAAAGATAGAGAATCAAGAGAATAAACAACCTGACCTCTTTTTCTTTCTAGTTTCCAAACTCCTTTTGATAGCTTCCATTGGCTGAACCCAATTGGGCACCAAAGGGTAAGGGAGCCCAGCTAATGCAGTCAGCCTCCAAGGCAGAGTACGGTGTGGAAAGGCTCTAAAGACAAAAACACAAACATATCTATATATCGTACTAAGAAGGATGGATCTTAGTTTTCATAGGTATGCTATGCAGAGAACATGGCCAGGTCAGTATTTACAGAAACTAACTCTTACATCAATAAGGAAGGATTACAAAGTGCAGACACTAGGGGTCAGAAGAGTTTTTAAGTAGTAAACTAGGGAGAAGTGGTTTGATGTGCACTTTGAAGAAATAGTAAATATTATAGTTATTTGTTTATACTGTGTATCCCTTGATTTTTTTCAATTTTTAACTCCAAAATCCCCCAATTTGTGAGTCTGTAGAGAGCAAGGATTGAATTTCATTCATCACTGTGTTTCAGTCCAGTATTATGTCTGGCACATAGTAAACTTTCAACAAATACCTGACGAATGAATTAATAACCTGAAAGAAATGCTATATAAAGTCAGTAGGTTAATAACGCCCTAAAAATATTGTGAAACACTGCCTACGAAGTAAAAATTTAAGGAAAATGAATAAAGAAATAGATGCCAACAAGAATTGTAAAAATGAACAGCAAAACTGATAACTGAAACAGTTAAGACAGACTATCAAGGAAAAAAAACATTTGGGAACTAGGACATAAAGATTTATGGGACAATCTTGTTATTTTTGGAAGGCAGACTACAACGACCTGTTTCTTTTATTTTAAAGATAAAAAACAATAAACACAATATAGAATTTCAAGACAAGATAACAGGAAACTAACAATGGTTATTATATTACATATTGTTGTCTTCAAAATAGCTGCTCAGATTACCAGATACAGGCATGCGAAGTTGATCAAACAATATAAGCACTAACTGTTCCTTTCAATAAACTAATAGAATGAGTAGCACAATTATCTCAGCTATGTTTTGTGTGTGTGTGTATATATATATGTAATATGTATTATATATATTTTCTCCCTTCTTTCTTTTCTCCTTTCCCCTATCCCAGTTATTTTTTCCTTTTGAGCAGTTTCTTTCCTTTCACAACATCTAGTGTACTTTTTAAACTTATTTACTCTTTCAGTTTCCTACATTAGGGAGATAATGATGTTTGCACATGCAAGTCTGATTTATTTCACTTATGAGTATGGTCTCTAATTGCATCCATTTACCTATAAAAGCCTCAAGTTTATCTTCCTTTATACCTGAATAGTTCTCCATTGTACTAAAATACCACATCTTTTTTATCTGCTCCTTGGCTGATGGGTATTTGGGTTGTTTCTAACATTTAACTATTACAAATTGTACTGCTATGTATACATAGATGCACATATATTGCTGTGGTATGATGTTTTCAATTCTTCTGGAAAAATATCCAGAAGGGGGACAATTAGGTCAAATGGAACCGCTAATCCTAGGTTTTTGAGGAATCTCCACACTGATTCCACAGTGGCTGTACCAGTCTACACTTATACCAACAGTGGAGAAGGGTTTCTTTTTCCCCACAGCCCCACCAGCATTTGTTATTGGAATATTTTTTGATGATAGCCATTCTTTCTGGGGTGAAATGGGATCTCAGTGCTGTTTTAATTTGCATTTCTCAAATGACCAATGATGTTGAACATTTTTTCATATATTTATTTGGCATTTGTATATCTTCATCTGAGAAGTGTGTATTCATCTCAGATGTCCTTTCTGGACTGGGTCTTTGAATGTGGGCAACCTAATTTTTGCTTTTATTCTTTATATGTTCTAGATAGAAGTCCTTTGTCTAATTTCTAAAGAAATCAAAAAGCTAAATCCTTCATATGCATGTTCTTAAAACATTCTTCATAGAAACAAATGGTAATACTTTTTTTTAAAAAAAAAGTCTCAAGCAGCTAGTTTTTTTCCCAATTGTTTAAAAACGTACAAACTGAAGGATCAGAAACACAAACCACAATTCAGTATACCTTCAAGTAGCCAGCCTTCCCCTTCTCGTTCTTTCTGGTAGAAACATTCGTCCATTTACTCCTAAGCTACTGAAATTCTTAATGGAGTGGAGTCATAAATGTAATCTGTAATATGCCACAGGCCCAGAGAGAGCTGGTGAGCCCAACAAGGAACTGGAGAAGAAGCCCTGCCACGAGGCCCCACCACCATAGGGGGGAGCATGGCTGAATCACCCCCCCCCCCGACTCTCCACCACTCCAGGAATCCCAGATTGCAGGACCAGGTGCCTTGTCCAATCTACTACACTGAGGGACTGGCAGTCAATGCAGGAAGCATCCGGGATGCAGCAGTGGGCTGATTCGGAGGAACACAGGAAAATGTCAAGACGAAGGAACAAACACAATCTCAGACCTCCAGCCCACAGAGAACAAGTCTAAGAGAACCAGACATTGCAGAATTAGATACCTGAATTACATACCTGAAATTTCTGAAAAGGTAACAACTGAAATAAAGAACTTAGTTCTTGTATTCTTTAGTTAATTTTACATGCTTATGACTGTTAGTCTGGACAGTTACTTTGAAAATAAAAAGAGACATTATGGTAGCCATTGCTGATTTCCTATTACCTTGTTTTGAAACTCTGAATTACTTTCATTGTTTTGTTTTGATTGGCTTTATTCTGTTTTATTTTGTTTGGCTTAATTCTCTTTAAAATAAAGTAAAATGAAAAGTAAAAGATACTCTTTCACATTTCCCTAGGATGACAAAAGTGGGAGGAGACGGGAAGGAAGGGTGGTAGTATTCATCTAATATTGTCATATTAGACCAACTCATTGAGTATAATATTCAGCAAAGGTCTATACAGTATTCTTCACAGTAAAATGGGATGAGCCAACAGACAAAGATCAAGGGAAAAACATGTTTCTTGCATAATTTTATTAATACCTGACCAACTAAGGATATTTCAAAAAGTCTTTGTTGGCTATCGGTTAAAAATGGCTATAAGACTGGTTTGCTTTTTTCTTTTTTTCCCCTTTTCTGGTACTAGAGGATTGAACCCAGGGGTTCTCTGCTACTAAACTATATTCCCAGCTCTTTTTAAACATTTTTAAAAATTTTGTGACAGGGTCTCACTAAGTTGCCCAAGCAGGACTTGAATTTGTAATCCTCCTATCTCAGCTACCACAGTGCTAGGATTACCGGCATAGAACATAAAACTTAGTTTATTTTCTATTTTTAATGATGTCATATGAAACTGCTCACTATGATTATTACAAACTTGAAATCCAAACTCCTCTTTCAACTCCCTCTTAACCAAACACACGTTGGTTACTAAACGTAACACAAGGTATCTGAGCATACAACCTGATAAGTGGCCACACAGGTAACAGGAACAGCTGATTACTGCAGGGTCAAGTGTGGTTTATCTTGACTAAGTCAAGAAAAACATAAAGCTTGGAACACTCAGTGCTTTACACAAACCCTGCTTTGGGTTTCCTCTACCCATGTATCAAAGATTTTGTTATTTTCTTTTATGCTTCCATATTCCTTAAAGGAATCTCATTTTATATCTAATTAATCTTATAGTGTTCCATTTGAACATCTTTTATTTACATGTCAAAGCAGCTTTTTTGAGTAAAAACATAAATTTTAGGATTGGGACTCAGTAATTATAAGCAAGAAGGTATAACTGGGCCATAGATAACTCATTTATGAAGGAGTGATAAACATAGGCTCTAAGAGCACTATAATAACTGAATTTAATTTTATTAATCAAACTAATGTAATGTAAACCTTTTAAAAAAGCAGAAAACATATGCTATCAATATGTACTATACTTGAAAGTTAAAGTCCTTAGAAAATTCTTACAAGGTTCATTACAGCTTATATTACAGATACCTAGAGAGTTGTTTTAACTCTGAAAAGTCAACTCTATCTACGGAATTCTAGCAGATCCAACAGATACAATGTGCTGAATTATTCAAACTTCATTTAATTGATACAGGAAAGCTAACTTTGTTTAGCCAGGTAGAACCCAAAGAAATTGTGTTAACATCCTAAACATTATCAAGAAATAGGCCTCCTTAATACTAATTGTCTCAATCACTTTTCTGTCATTGCTGGGTCAAAACACCAGCTCCCGAGTTAAAAGAGGAGAGGTTTAGTTAGCTCACAGATTTTAGAGGTTTCAGTCCATAATCTGCTGCTCTAAGGAAGAGTGGCATGGCAAACAGGTGTTGGAAAAAAGAAACAGTTCATGGCAGGGAGAAGGTAGCAAAGCAATAAGAGACAAAACAAGCCTCCTCTGTCCCTTACATTGTATCCAGGCTACCAGAATTAGGGTAGTGTCAAACTAACTAATGGACTAACTTAGTAATCCACTCATCCTTAATCCTAGCATTGCACCATGAATCAATCACACATGCTAGATCCAGCAGCTCTGAAAAAGCCCCATCTAATGGCATGAGGCTTTGGGGGAACATCCACATACAAGGCATCGCTCTAAGCAAATACCTCTTTGCTGAGCAAATGACAGATTTTAAGGTAATGTTTCCTTAAGATCGTGAGAACCTTTGTAGTCTTTCTTGATAAAGTCCTATGGGCATTTACTACTAGAAGAAAATATTAATTTCTAGACCACTGTCTCTAATTAGTCTGGTAGATACAGATAAAGGTAAGTTACACCATTACTATTCTCTGGTAGATTCTAATTAAAACACAAATTACAGTAACAAATTAATTTTAGTGTCTAATCAAATTTGCCATCAATTTCATTTAAGTGAGGGACTGCCTGTTTAGCAAAATACCAAGGGGTTCTCTGTTTAGCAGAAAAACAATTCTGTATTAACTAAATCAGAAAATTTCAACAGCTGAAATGGTACTGAAACTTGGCACTTTGGACTTTACAGTGTATAATTACAAAAAACATTGAACTGCACTTCTAAATTGCATACTGTGTCCCACAAAAATGAGAAAGTAAATGTTTCTGCATAGATTGAAAAACTGATAAATTTTATGCATTCCAAATGGGAAGTATATTAAGAAAATACACAGCTAAAACAAAGTCAAACGATAAGAAAGAAAAAAATTACCTTTGCTGATAAATAGTGCTTGTAGTAGTACAACTGAAACAGCAGAAAAGCAGAACTTGCCAGCGTGAAAAGGGCCAAAATCACGTTCTTACTGATCTTACTCATCAGTCTGTGGTATTCACTCGGTTGTGTTTCATAAGTAACCCAGTTATTTTCATCTTTTTGGATAGGAAGACAAACTTGTTTTCTGTGGACAAAAATATACTTCTGAAGATTCAAAACAGTATTTTAAATTCCTACCTCTAAATCAGCAATAACAGAAAGAAAAACTTCTCTAAAGTGCCACAGAACAAGGAGTGTGAGCAAGGAGAAGGGCTTCTTCCAAGCCCCTGATTCAGTAGATCTGGTGGGGAGCCTACGAATGTGCATCTCTGACAAGTCCCTAAGTGATCCTGCAGCTACTGACCGCACTGAGAACCACACTCGGGCCAAGAAGCTGAAACAAGTTTTTAGTCAAGAGATATGCTCTATATGATAGCCCTAAAGGGAATATAACAGAACAGTAACAAGAAACAAAACGATCCAGTGATAGAACAGCAGGAAATCTACAATCTTACTGTATTGCATATTGTTTATCCTTTAAATAGTTGCCCAGACTACCAGCCCCAGCCCTGTAAAGTCAATCAGCAACATACATGTCAGATTACTTCCCTGCTTCAGTGATCATCACTCTGCCTGTGTTTTGTCTGCGTGCTTACAGGTGTTGGACAGGGGAGGCAGAAGTGGCTTCCTTGCTGGTTCTCCCCATCCAGCAGGGCTGTTACCGCTGGTTTTCTTATTTTTGCTGAATCCACAAATTATCTCTCTCCATAGTCTCAGTTCAGATCCTTCCTGTGTTGATAGGACCCACTTCTCTTCTGCCTCTCTAGCTCATGCTGCAGTATTCCAAGGTCTGGACACAACTTGGAGAGGTTCTTTCTCCGCTGCTCACCATTCCACCATTTGCCTGGAAGTCCACTTATCAGAATCTTGAACCGTTGTATGAGTTTCACTAGTCCAAACTAATTACGTTAATTAATTCCACCACAGGAAATGGGGAGAGACTCAGCAAGAAGCTAAACCAGGCCTTCCAGCGAGCCAGGGTCTGCCATGGGGACCCGGAAGACTGCTTCCCTCATTCCTCTTTCTTTTCTGAAATGCTTTCATCTACTTCCATAAAAACCAGCTATTCACGCCTGCTTTTACATGACTGTTTAAATGATGTCTTCAATGAGCTTCCAAAAGTCAAAAATGACCTTTCCCATTTCTAAACTTTCAGTTTTACTACAGGAAGTAAATACTTACTGTGTATTTACTAAGCATAGATGGGGAAAAAAAGCTAAGCAATGGAGATAAAATGATAAGACAGTTTAAAATACAGTTCCCATCTTCTAAGAGTTTAGACAAGTCCGGAAGCTTGCAAAAGAACAGCAGTAGTGATGGGAGTGGAGTGACGTACCCAGAAAAGATGGGAAGCTTTTCCAAAATGCATAAGCACCATTCCTGATCACCACCATTATCTATTAAGAGCCACTACTCTAAGCTAGGTGTGATGGCACGCTACTCGCTACTCGGGAGGCCGAGACAAGAGAACTGAAAGTCCAGGCTGGGCAACTTTGCAAGACCCTGTCTCAATGAAAGAGAGAGAGAGAGAGAGGGGAGGGGAGGGGAGGGGAGAGGAGAGCATAAGGAGGCCAACTAACTTTAAGGAGTTACCATGTTCTATTTTGATTAACAGCTATTAGTGCCCACAAATCATTCTTCTACTGGCCTAAAATGGACTGAACTACTACCAAGTACTAGGAAGTATGTTAATTATACTAAAATAAACTGCACAATGCACAAGAGCACTAAAAATATTAAATAAAAGCCCTCTGTCCTGCAGGGACTTTTATAATTAGAGTATAAAATATCAAATAAATGATTTTTTGAGATTAAAGCCAACACCTGGTTACAACTCTCAAACTATAAATACTTAACAGCATCATACAGAACAGTGTGGAATGAAACCTAAACAAAATATTATTTCTTTTTATATGCAGCACTTTAGCTATCACAGAAAAAACACCAGAGGATTTTTCTTAAGAAGAAGATAGTATTGAAGAAGATAGTATTGTAAAAAATAAACTGAAGTGAGTGGGAAAAGAGGGAAAAAAATGACAAATGTCTGCAGAAAAGAGACTGGGGTGGTAAGGGAACTTAAAGAGGTTTAAGCAACACAAGTATCTTAAAATTCTAATGCAAATATGCTGTTAGTATAAATATATTATAACAAAGAATTTTACTTAGAAGAAATGGAATTAGGATGCACCTAGTACATAAGTTGAGATTTAGAGAAGAAGAAATAAACGGCTGACTTTTTACCAAGGGAACCACAAATGGGTTAGAGATGTCAGAGCTATCAATCTCCGCCATCTTTGAGCCCTGGGAAGCTACAACCTAAGACTGGTCACCACAGTCAAGAATACATTCTTTTATTCTTCCTTTCATTTTTTATTACAAATTTATTATATGTCCAGACATGAAAAAGGTGAGATAAAACTGATAGCAGATGAAAATCATGCCCAAATATGATGAAAAAAATGTACAGGCCGAAACTTTCTGGAGTTTTCAGGCTCTCTACAGCCAAGAGCAGCGCTCTGCATTTATTCAATGGCCTACTTCCTCATACATGTTACCACTTGTTCTTTGAAGGTACTGGTATGAAAAACCTTGGGATATGGTTTAATCTGACACTCCTCTTTGCTCCTACTCTTTTGAGAATTGCCTAAAGAGGGGTATGTTTGAAAGAATGTCTAACAGCCTGACTTTAATAATCTCCTTCTCCCATTTCTACCTCTTATCAACTTGATATCAGGGCCTCTCAGACAACAATGTCCTGCCCTGACATCTGATTCAGGCTTATAAGATGATATGTGACAGTGCAGTGCCTGCAGTGCTGGTAGGTACAACTTACTCAGAGATATCAGGGAATGAGAGGAAGGCAGAGGGGGTAGGCAGGCAAAACTGACATGCAGGGAGTGAGAGGTCGACATACTGAGTGTCAGTATGCCCTGAATTACAAAATAAAATGAAGCTCAACTGTACAATGAGGCAAAGGTGTGGTTACAGGGCTAAGACAGAATAGGAGTCATAAGGAGAAAAGGATTCTGAGGATATATTCAGAGGTAAGACAAAAAAATTTTTTTTCAGCTATTTTGAGAAGTACAAAGAGGTTCAGTACCATGGCGGCCCTTCAGTCTTCCCTAGATATGACGGTTCATTTCCTTTGCTTTCACTGTTAACTTCTGTAACAGTGTCAACAGCCTGGAAGTAAAGATTAGACTGCAGAAGATTAAGAAGTCTTCACCTATTTATCATTTATTCACCTTTTTTTTTTCTTTTTGGTGGTACTGGAGGTTGAATTCCCAGCCTTATACATGTTTGGAAAGCACTTTAACACTGAAGCATACCCCACACTTTATGCACTTATTTATTGAGAGACAAGGACTCATTAAGTTGGCGAAGCTGGCCTCAAACTTGTGATGTACCTGCCTCAATCTCCTGATTCACTGTTATTATATGTGTTTACCACCACAACCTGCCTTATCATTTCTCAGTCTTTCACAACATAACTTCTGCCTCAACATAATATTGGGAAACACAAGATAGAAAATGTAGTCTGTCCATCTGGTCCTCTAGAAAAGTCAAATACACAGCAACTCCTTTGTAAATGACTAGGATGTGAAGGGGTTTTGGAAACAGTAGCTGAAATCAAAGACCTACGGAAGAGAAAGTGGATAAGAAAAGAAGTAAAGAGGAATGTTGGGAGCATCATTATACTGAATTTCAAATTATACTGCAAAGCCATAGTAATGGTCCAGCATGGTGAGGCACACCTGTAATCCCAGCACTCGAGAGCCTGAGGCAGGAGGATTGCTGTATGTTCAAAGCAAACCGGGGCTAACTAGTAAGTTCAGGTCCAGCCTGAGCTACACAGTAAGATTCTGTCTCTAAACACCAAACCAAACCAAACATCATGGTACTTATACAGAAACAGACATGTATACCAGCATAACAAAACAGAAGACAGAAATAAACCCATGTACCTATAGCCATCTGAGGTTTGACAAAGAGGCCAAAAACCTACACTAAGAAAACACATCCACTTTAACAAATAGTGCTGGAAAAACTGAATATTTAGATGCAGAAAAATAAAGCTAGAGCTCTATCTTTTGCTCTGTATTAAATCACAATGTGGATCAAAGACCTAGAGATAAAACCAGAAACTAAAAATGCTGGAAGACAATTCATGGAAAAAACTTGACACCACAGCCACAGGCAAAGCCTGACTAGAACTCTAAAAGCATAAGAAATAATATCAATCAGTGAGTGAGATTACATCAAATTGAAAAGCTTCTGTATAACAAATGAAATAATTAGAGAGACAATATACAACCCACAGAACGGGAGAAAATCTTAGTCTTCTGATAGATGATTAATACAAAAAATGCACAAAGAACTCATGAAATTAATCCCCCAAGAAACAAATCAAAAAACAGGGGAAATGAACTGAATAGTCACTTCTCAAAAGAAGTACAGAAATATCTTTAACTATTTGTTAAATGACAATCAGAACTACTCTGAGGTTCCATCTCACTCCAGTTTGAAAGGGTTGAAGCAGGGTATAGTGGCACACACTTGTAATCCCAAGACTCCAAGAGGCTGAGGCAAATGATTGCCAAGTTCCAGCCCAACCCAGGCAGTTTAGTGATTTATCAAGACCTTGTCTCAAAACCAACCAACCAACCAACCAACCAGGCTCAGTGTGATGAGGCTCAGTGTGAAGCCTTGGATTGCTGTATGAACTAGAGGTGAAAGAAAGAAAGAATGAATGCTGGTGAAGATGTAGGAAAAAAGAACCCTCACAATGAAACAGGAATATGAACTAGTACAACACTATGGAAATCTGCATGTACATTCCTCGAAAATCTAAACACAGGAATACCATTTGATCTAATTATATCACAGATGTATATTTTCTTGAAATAACAAAAGACAGCATTCTCTAGTGTAGTGATGTCGAATTTTCGAGAGCTTTCAATGATAATGAACAGCTCCCTGTGGTGTGCCATAGGTTTGCCACCATTGCTGTAGGGACACATGCATATTTATATTACAGGAGTGCAAGTCACAGTAGCTATGCTGTGAAAACAGCCTAGATGCCCCTCACCAGAATAGAGAAAATGAGGTCTATAAAACACATTAGAGAGTATTATTCAGCTATGAAAAATGAAATCACATCATCTGCAGTAAAATAGGTAGATCTAGACATCATATTAAGTAAAAAAGCCAGACTGAGAAAGTAAAATAGCTCATTTTTTTGTTACATGAAAAACAAGAGATGACAGGAAACTAGGATGTAGGCTTCAGACATAGGATAGGGACAAGAGAGTTAAAATGGAGGGACTGAAAAAATATCAAGATATATTAAATGACGTACCGGTTTTCTCAAATGAACTTCACTATTTTATATTACTAACAGGCATTAATAAAAGAAAAAAATTACAGTGCAAAATTTTTAATTAAAATTCTATTTAAAAACAGGAAGATAGGTGTGGCTATCTTTGAGTTGAGGGGAGCTTAGGTGTTTTTCTTTACTGTTCATCTTAACTGAACAAAACTTGTACTAAGAAAAATGTGCATATTACAATAAAAGCACACTGCTGCCTGTGGCTGATGGGCCCTGGAAGCATAGACTTGGGTAATGTATCTAGTCCGCCGATCCTTCTCTTGGAACTGCTCCCCTGTTGTGTTTCCCTACCACCCTGCACTAAGCATCTTCATTCTGTCACACTCTTCCACCATTTCGTTCTTGCCCTGGAGCGCTGGACTATGAACTAAATCCTCTGAAACTGCAAGCCAAATAAACTTTCTTTGAATTATGGGTGTTAAGAGATTTCCTTCCACTATTACAAAAGCTATCTAATATATCTTTTAAACTTTTCTAAATTATTTCAATATTTTAATAAGGAACATGTATTATTTTCATAACAAGTTTTTCCTAAGGAAAATGTATCAGGGATAGCTTAATAACTACCGTATTTACCATATAGTAGCTAAAGCTTTATTACTTAAATATATGGTTTTTACATCAGCAATGTGAGCATCAATTTGGAGCCTGTTAGAAATACAGAATTATTAGGCCCAACTCTAATCTGCAGATACACAATGTGTATTTTAACAGAATCCTCAGGTGATTCATGTGTATCTTAAAATATGAAAAGTATCAATTGAGATGTTAAGGGCATTACATGCAGGGACAAGAGAAATAATATCTACCTAATATATCCCTAGCACCAAGCAGTGTTTGAAGCATACTTCTGTTAAATAAATATGTAAATGTTTATTTTTGCCAGAGTTCCCAGAAGTAGGAGCTTAATATTTGCTATAAATGCTACTAAGTTAGGTCAATAACAATGATTCCTAGAATCTATGATTATTTGTAACCCTAATTAAAAAAAAAACTTACTCTTAAATCTGAGATCCACATACCTTCTTCAATACTAGACTCCTATCTATGACTGCATCCTATAGTTCCTCTCTTTACAATCTTTCCTTGAAAGCAAATCTATTCTGGAGATTTTAAACTAGCACTTCTTGGAACAAATTCACTACTAAAGTTTCAGTCTCTATGCTCTGGTTATATTTTCAATTCTATTACCTATATCTCAAATTGAATGTTCAAAACTATTTTATTCTCCATCAACTATCTTTCTCTCCCCCTTCAGAAACAGGTAGGTCTCCTTTCTTACACACTCAAGATTTACAAGTTTTATAAAAGAAACTGCCTGGCTCAATAATATCATTAAAAGAACAGGATCTAGAGTTAAATGACAGTCAAGTGTTTAATTATTGGTAACTTGAAAGGTATAATGCAAATCACTGTACTTCAACACCTGCTGGAATTCAACAGATTTCTCATTTTTGTCAATAACATTTAGATACACTTTTTAGAAACCCATATTCAAAACACAAATTATCTAAAGGCTAAGGGTGTAGCTGAGTGCTTGCCTAGCATACCTGAGGCCAGCACTGCAAACACTAAATAAATATGTAAATTAATAAAATAAAAATATTTAAAATATTCTTAGAGCTGGGGATGTGGCTCAATGGCAGTGCACTTGCCTAGAATGTGTGTGGGCTTGGGATCAGTACTTAGCACTAGAAAAAAAATTAATCTCCTTGATCCCAAAAAAATCAAGTGCAGTGTTTACTGTCCTTTTGACATCTCTCATTTCTTTCATCTTCCTTTTTAGATCACTGTACTTTCTTCCCACGTGAGAGTTGATTCGTCATTCAATATCATCCTTCCCAAATCCTAGACCCTCACTTAATGTATCTCTAGCAGATATTGAAAATATGAGAGCTATTCCTGACATTTATATCTTTATTCACAGTGGTCAACCAGAGATGGTTCCCAATCATTCAAACCCTATACCTCCTCAGAGTCCAATTGACTCACAGCCTTTTCTTCTGGACTTCCCTGTTTTCCCAAATCCTAATGTACTGCCCTATCACTCACTTTGGGATTTATGCATATAGGCTGATTTTTACTTGTTTGAAACCCGTCATCTTCAAAGGTAGAAAGACTCTTAGATGTCACTGAAGTCCTCTTTCATATTTGAGAAAACTGAGTCTCAGCGAAAAGCGTCTTACCTCATGTTACTTGAGATACTGGTGATCTGAATCACATTCTCCGGACTCCTATCCAAAGTTTCTAAGTCACCTCTACACATACCCAATCTTTCCCGACATGACGCAAATAAAATGCACATACCAAGGTCAGATGAAACTTTATTTAGCGCGACAGTGTTTTCCTTACAATTAAACACAAGAATGGTACACACTTCTCTAAAGGAAATGAAAGCTGAACTCAGGTAGGAGCATGAAGAAGATGGATAAGCGAACTACTTCCTCGCAACCAAGCTAACAGCCGGCAATAGCGGCACAAGCAGGACAAAGGAGAATCGCAAGTTCATGCCCCAAATAGGCAACTCAGAGACTCAGGGAGACTCTTTCCCAAAATAAGAAATAAAAGGACTGGAGCTCAGTGCGAAGATTCTGGGCTCAACTCGCGAGCTGTTACAGCTCGGCCTGCACACAGCACTACTCACTCCTTTACAGGTCAAGTCATCCTTGTGTTTACCAGCTGGGACCCACCGTGAGCTCTGTCACATTCCTGCCTTCCCTTCCTCCTGAGCTCTTTTTCCAGGCCACTACAATGAATGCATGGACAGCTGCCTAAACCTTGCAGCTCCTTTCCCGCTTCTGCTCTTTCGCAAACGCGGATGCCGCAAGCTGAAATGCTCTCCCGCTAGTCTCTCGCAAATCTAAGCCGACTTTCACTTTCCACCAGCACCACCGGCTTCTGTAGAAGCATCTGGCTTCTATACAAGTATCTCGAGCGCCCTCCCAAAGTGAACCCGCCTCACAGTGAGACCCGTACCTGCTGACAACTCCCGGGAGCGTGGAAGAAACTGCCGAAGAAACGCTGACTGCAAGATGCTCGGGATGCACTCTGCGGAGCACCGAGCCGGGAGCGCGTTCAGCCTACCTCAGGGATCGGTCTGCGGCCTGGCGCAAGGAAGGTTAGGGTTCCAGAGGCCGGGAGCTGCCGCCGGAGGAACCCAGCCCACTGGCGAAAAGTGCCCGAAGGCGCCCGCCCACGCCCGGAAGCCCGACGGAACACCTGGCACGCAGCGCCTACTCCGCAGCCGCGGCCGCAGCTCCGCTTTACTGCACTGACGGAAACCGCCGCAAAAATGGCCGTCACGTCAGATCCGCGGGCACTGGCCCGGATGGCGTCGGGAACGTCTTGGCGGTCCAAGTGGGCCGGATTCGGTCCCGTTCCTGCCGCCGTTTCACCGCAGGAAGCTTGCTGAACTTTAGTGAGTTCCTCGCTTTTAAAACCTAGCCAAAGCGAAATCCCCTTCATCTCCTGCGTCAGTAACACAGCAGCGCGTCAGGCAACGAGCGCTTCTGGGAAACCCGTCGTGGACCATGAAGTAGCCCAGCTGAGCTGCGTGCCTTAGCCCGAGCGCGCCAGATCAAACACAGAATACCAGCTAAATGTAAACCTCACATAAAATGAATTTTAAAAAATGTTTTTAGTGCATGTGCTAACCAGAGAGGCACTCAGGACAACTCCAAATTCTGGTTTAGACACTATTAGCTGAGCTGAGATGGAGATAATAATAGTCTGCTGGAAGTCGAGTGTCTTGCGGGAAACAATATAAACTTGAAACACGTATAGGAGCTAAAATACCAAATATGACTATATGAGACTGAAGCTGCTGTATCTAAAGTAATTTCTACAAAGAGAAAGACGAAAGGAGACTGCGTTTTATATTGCTCCTGACACCCAAGCTCCAACAGACAGTTATCTTCAGCTGAAGGCTGGAAATACAAAGAATTAGGGAGCAGATATGAATTTGTTTTGCTGTGGATTTTTGAAAATGAATAGATTACTCTCATTTTAAACTTTTTACAAAATTTCTATCAGCCTGTAGTAAAAACTTTTGTTTCCTAATCTTTGGTTTTAAAAATTGTATTACAGATACTAGTCTCTCTTAGCTCATACTGGTTACCACTTTTATCAGCCTTTTATTTTGCCCTCTAGAAATATTCTTTGTACACACAAGATTACTGTAAGTCCTCTTACTCCTCAGTGCACTCAGTACTGCATAGTTGATAATTAAAAATTCTAACACCAAGAGGAAAATCAAATAGTAGTACAGATAAGATTTATGGAATGACTGGAGACAGGTACAAGCTTGAGGAACCTAAAATGGAAAGTGTAAGCATCAAACAATAAAAGCTATTGGTTAAAACACATCAAATACAAGTTTTGGGGGCGAGGGTTGTAGCTCAGTGGTGTGCTTGCCTAGCTCTGGGTTAATATGCCAGGCACCACACAGTTTATGATGATGCCTTAAAAATAAAACCCAGACATTACTAAGTTTGCCAGGATAGTGACTCCTTTTTTCTGAAACCTGATAAATAATTTAGTCTGCCTTTCTTCTGTGAACTGTATTTCAGGGTGACCAGTGTGATGATAAGCATTCCAGCTAATAAAAATGATGGATCATGTTTTCTAATAGAGTAACACGCATCAATAAATGCTAACAGGTGAAAAGGTGATAGGAAACTGTAATAGATACAGAAGGCTAGCATTGCCCAAACCCACTGACCAATCTTAGTATCACTAAATGTGTAACAGTCAGACATGTAGTTCCTAATGTGATAAACAGTACACACCACCATGTATGCAGGAGTATAGAGAAACAATCAGCTAAATTCAGAATGTAGGACATTCCAAAAGACCAATGTCCCAGTTTCTCTATTAATGTCATTTAAATGGAGATGAAACTACTATAAAATCACAGAGACAACCAAATGCAACATGTGTATCTTGTCTGGATCCTGATCTGAATTAGCCAACCATAAAAAGGCATTTTTGAGACAAACAGAATTTTACTATGAAATGTCACTAAATGACAGTAAAAAATATTGTGCCTCTAAAAAACAAATGTGGCTGTTTTTAAAAAGCTTACTGACATGTACTGCTGGACTTAGGTAAAATTTTAAATGACACAAACATGACAGAAAGTTAACTGATAAGTCTAGGTAATGAGCATAAATGTTTATTATTAATGCTGTACTTTTCTGTGTGGAAATTACAAGGAAAATAACTAGAAAAAGGAGAATGGGTTTTTATAAGTAAACACTTCCAAGTTCATAGCCAATCTTGTTTTGCATAAACCTTAAAAAATGCAGATAAAGTACATGATTACACTGGCCAATCTTCTAAATCAGTATTAAATAACTGTAGTGTTTTTCTTACATAAACAACAGGCATAATACATCATCTGTAATTCCTTCTGTAGGATGAACCAGAATTTAAACATGCAAATGAAAGAACCCAATGAGTTAATTCCTGACTTTTTGTGGCTCTGGAGGACAATCCTTTCCCATAATTTACAATTACCTTGATCATAACTAACTTTGGGGGGCGTTGGCCAGAGATGTTTGAAATGGATGTGCAAGTATAAGACACTTCTGGGAGCCACAAGCCCAAAACCTCCTGGAATGCATGTCAAAGATTAAAAGCCTACAAGACCTCAAATCCGCATAGGAACAAAACACAGGGCCTTAAGGATTACGTACTCTGATCCGTGTCCTTCCTATAACCCAATTTATTACTTAGTGTGGCGCTGAGTCCTTCCCTGTCCTGCATGAAGCCAGCTTTCATAATGGTCTACATATTTACAAAATTTTCATTGAGAGTGGGGAGAAATGTGCAGAGTATTTTTACCATAACAGTGGTAGTTTGCTGGAGAGAAAAGGGTAGCCTTCAGAATTCTGCTAGCCCATTGTTTTGTTAATTTAGGCCTGTCAGGCTAGCTCTGCCTTGCTTTAAAGAAAGGAAAAAATTATTTCCAGGGCCATCTAGATGTGTCCTGCTCTCATCATTTTGCTTATATTTTACTATCATAGTGCTTTGGGCATGCAACTAAATAAGTAGTAGAAATACACAAAAAGGAATTAAAGTTTTAAAGGTATGTACACTTAAAATCTTAAAACTTTTCTCCAAAAATTTTGTACCCATACTCCTATATGATAACACTGGTCTCTCAATGTCTATCATAGGCAAGACCAGCTAGTCTCCTTTCATCTTCGATATAGCTGCTCCAGTCTCAGTCACTGATTGGGATTCTTTTATCTCTTATCTCAGAAATTTGTTTAAAGTTAGAATACAAATTTTAAAGAGATATAGTTTTAGGTTCTATTTTGACTATAAAATGGAATCCAAGATACAAGAAGCTTCAAAGAAATGAAATTTCTAATTTATATTATGGTTAAATATAGCATGTTTCATTTTCTATCACTGCACTGTATAAAACTATAGCTGTCTACAACATTCACTTCGTGTTTAAATTAAAAATTTTAAATTCAGTTGCTTAGTACATTAGTCACATTAATTGCCTCTGGCTAGTGGCCATTTAGTGCGAGTACAGACTTTTTTTTGGTAAGAGTACAGACTTTTCATCACTATATAAAACTCTGTAAATACAACACTGTTCTGAAATGTTTTGGGCAAAAGGATTAGGACTTTTAAATATTTTCATCCTCACAAACACAATGTAGAGTTTAAATAAAAGTGATCAAAGCACTGAAACAAAGAAAACAGGAAAAAAATTTTAATTTACTTGAAATATTCCAGGTGCTTTTGTAAAAACTTAAACTGAGACATTCTGTACATAACATACAATCATCTCAATATACAACTTTCTCCATATCAAATATCCTACTTTCAAGTCAAAAACATTTAAAAGGTTTTGACTTATTTATAAGGAAGATGAGGCTCCATGCACATTAAAACACTTATTTTTCAGCACTGTGTACATATGTAGTTAATGGTCTTCAAACTGAGAGATTAAACCTGAGAAGTTTAAGAATTTTATTATCACAATTGCATAGCAAGTCTATGTCCAGATAAGACATAACCAAAATCTGTATTTTTAAGGTAACTTGTAAACTTTTTAGTAAATCCAATTTAAAGCAAAATAAATGTTATCAGGAACAGTAATAAAAGATACCTGCGCTAAACCAACTAGGTTTTGGAATGCTTCATCTTATTTTCTGAAAAAATGATAATACAAACAAGCTGTCAAATGTTAAACTATTATTTATTCAGTAACAGTAAGTTGCTGAATCATTAGGCTGGGATGAATTACTTAGGTCAAGTTCACTGTCTGCATGGGGCACAGAATAGTCTTAAAAGTGCAAATTGCTGGGTGGAAAAGTTTTTTATGTTATTCTATAGTGATACACAATAATACTGTGGGAGAACTATTATAGCTCTAGTCTTGAAAACAGAGGGTAATGTAAAAAGGCTGAGTCATGCACGAACTAAATGTTAAAGGGCATTGTAACAGGCTTTATTTTTTAAATTGTTTGAAATCACTGGTGATACCACTTTAAAACATGCCTTATCAACATAGGTGACATTTAAAAGTATCCAAGTAAATCCATTATTCACTAAAAATAACACCTTACATTTATAGAGCACTTTACTTTTGCTGAAGCGAATTTCACATACTCCATTCCATTTTATTCCTCACAACAGCCCTGTGAGGTAGGCAGAACACATTACAGTTATTTTAAGTAAGGCAATACAGGCCCAAAGGTGATGATTAACACAAAGGCCACAGATCTAGTATGTAGTAGTGCTGAGGTGATTAATTTTATGTACTTTAAAAGCAAATCTCTTTATAAAGAGACTTCCTTAAAATGTGAATTAAACAGTGCTTTGGTACCTCAGAAAGATTTGAAATGTTAAAGATTCCAGTAGTGCTGTACTCTCCAAAAAGTTGTAATATTAATAAAAATGTCTTTTACCAAATCACTGACAAAAATTAGTTGAAACTCAGTAAGCTCCAATCTGAAGCAAACACATTCACCTACATTCTTCCCTATATACTGTGAAATCTACATGTCCGTTCCTAAAGTCCAACTTACAATGACTGGACACCATTAAAGAAACATTATTTTAAATGAACATAGCTTAAACAAATATGAATCAGAAGTCAGGACCTTACTTTGATCCACCAAAAACAAACACTTTTATTTTAATAATTGGGTAAGAGAAAAGTGCTATGGTAATTTTGTTGTTTATTTATTAAGCCAATATTAACATTTATATGGCATGTCCAATAATAAAAGTAAAAAAAATAATATAGTTCATTTAAACTCCAACTAATCCAAAATTATTTAGGTTAGTTGTATATTCAAGATGACAAAGCTATCATATCTAACATCAGAATCACAAACAATTGCAGAATGTAAATACTGTAAGATACATACAAAACAAAAACTAAACAACACGAGGTAATCTTGCAGTGATGATTAAGAAAACATTTATACCTCTTATAATACTCCAGTGCTGGCATTATGAAGTATACATTTTGGTTGAAAATAACAAGTAACTTTATGATTACGTGGCATGTATAAATTTATGCCAACCATTCACTTCTCTGAACAAATACATCAGATGTAAAAATGAAATCAAGAAACTTCCCTAACCCTGTATTTTGTAACCATATGAAGGTAAACCATATTGTATGTCATTCAAGGGCTTTTTAAGCTATAGCAAATTTAGTCTTAAAACTTCTGACTTCTTAGCAAAACATTTTAAAGATGTAGTTGGTCTCTAAAAGCAGCAAAACTAGGTATACAATAAACTTCAGTTTTCAAAAGATGAATAAAAGTAATTGTAACTGCAACACTCATCCATATTTGTGTATAAATGAGCCAGTGAACACTGATGTAAAATGATTATTTGAAAAAATGAATTATGATTTGAAAATACAGTCAACTTTTTAAGCTTAGACTCACACAATTCATACTAAAAAGTTAGAAATTAACATTCTTTGGAATAACCACTTTCCAAATAACCTTTTCCAAAGTTTTTCGAATTGTTTATAAAAAATACATAAATAATTATTTATGGGAAAATATATATAGAAAAACTAATTTTAGGTAAGTCATGAAACAGCATATGACTAATTTATCATGACACTGATTATGAAAGTCAGACATCAAAAAGAGACCTAGAACTTTGCTAGAGATGAGTGGTTTTTTTTACAGGACAAGATGAATTATGATATATCTAACTCCCAAAGATAACAATAAAATTCTTTCTCACCAGCTTTCTAAAACCAAAAGAAAATTGAACAGCCCAGAAATTGAGCTCTATCATACAAGAGATGCTCTTAGAGAAAAGACTTCAATTTTAGAACAGGCACAAAGAGACCTAAATCAAACAGTGTCAAATGAAAGAATGTAAACACATGTATCAGGATTAACAAGGAAAAGTGAGTAAATACATGAGAAAGCAGGAATCTACAATGGAGCAATTATCTCAACTATAAAGTGAAAATACGTTGCTTTGACAGCAGTTGGATGATGCTCACAAGAAAGATGACTAAAGAAAAGAGTAATTAATATTCAAAACCAGTTTCATGACATTGTGAAAACATTCAAGGTGAGAGTGAAAAACAAAGCCTCATGTTGGAAGACAGAAATAAAGAATTAATCCATGAACATAATCGTTTAGAAGATAGACTGTATTAGTATGAAAGGGAGAAAGAAGAAAGAATTGTGAGACAACTTCAACAAAAACTGACCAATATCTTTAAAAAAATCTATGTCAGAGGCTTCATTGGAAGTTTCATCACATTATCGCATTAATTCAGAAGATGAGACATAGCATTTAAAGAAGAAATTAGATCAAATCAGGAGTCGACTGAAAGAAGAACAGTATCGACACACAGAAGCTGTGCAATGTGTGGAGAAGATGCAAGAATACCTACAAAAGCTTGAACTTGAGAATTCCAGGGTAAATGTGAAAATAAAAAAGCAATCATGGAAATGTTACCTTCACACCAATTTGTTAAGTGCAAATTTGTCTGAAGATAAGGAATAGTTAAAGAAACATTGAGTTAAAACAATCTCTGGAATATACTTTAGGTCAACAAAAAAAATGATGAACTAAAAAAACAGCTAACTGGATTTAAGAAATATCTACATCTGGATAAAAATAATCAGTTTTTCCACCAGGAGTTACTTACCTATGAAAAATATCCAGAAGAAATGTAAAATGCTAGAGGAAAATAAAAAGAAGTTGGAACAAGAAGTAGTAAACCTCAAAAGTCACACAGAAAAAAAATGTAGTAGAACATGGCCAACTGCAACAGTGTAAGCGGGAGACTGAAGAAAAGCAAGACAAGAGTTACTGGAAAAATTAAAACAAGTCAATTCATTTTTACGGACACAAGGAGCATCTCAAGAGAGCAATTGAGAGAGTAACAATGCTTCAATGAAAAATCACATGGAACTCAGAATTAAGAACCTGGAATTGGAGCTCTCTAAAATGAAAACCCAAGAAGAGTCCAATAAAAGACAACTTGAAAAATATAAGCAACTCTATACAGAAAAATTCAAAACTAGAAATTCACTGTCTAGTAAGCTAAACAAGGCAAATGAGAGGCTAGAAGAAGCCAATACCAAACTTCTGATGGAGAAACAGCAAAACAGATCTTTGCTGAACACTGTCAGTACAAGACCTGTCCTACAGTGTCCTTATGTCAGAAATCTTAATCATAGTTTGGTGCTCTAAACTTTTTCCCAGAGAAAACTTAGTGGTACATACATTAAACCCATAGCCTTCAAACAACAGCATGGAGAAGTACCTCACACTAAGATTCACGAAGAACTGGAAAATAGTATAAACACAAAACTAAGAGAAGCTACTGCTGAAATTTATACTGAAGTCTCAAAATTTTCTCCCAGATTTGCTAATAAGTAAAGATCTAATTTCAGAAGCATCACACAAATATAAGGAGATTTTAAGGAGAAGATATCTGACCTGAAAAGACAACATTTTTTAAAGTGGACCATATAGATAACATTTCATATATATCATTAAGGTGTATATGAAAACTTTGTTGAAAGAAAAAAGTTTTGTGTCATGTACATGATTAAAAATTAAATACTATTTTAAACTAAAAAAAAAAAATGATTTCATGACAGACACATTTATACCACCAAGGATCAGTTACAAAAAATCAAATTACGCATGTTGTTTATGTGTTAACTTTATAAATGAGAAAATAAACATAACACAGTATGTCTCCATTCGTAATGTGGGGGGAAATTTCTGTTTACCAAACAGTAAGTAGGTCAAGTTTAGCTATACCGTTTTAGTTCATGGTTTGTCCAAAATGGTACAAATGCTATCAGCTAAACCCAAAAATAGACAGACATGCCCTCAATACTTTTAATTTGTTTACCTATATCTGGAATAGGCAAAAAATCACAATATTTTAGATTTCAATATGCATTAGTTATTAAATGCTTGGTGTATATACACGTATTTATCAAAAGTTAAAGATGTATGTGACAATCAGCTGAAAGAGTCAAAATGAACTGTAAAAAAGCTTCTTTTCTAAAGTGCTTAAGGCAGCTCCTTCATTTCTATTTTCAGCTTAATAAAACTGATTTGGGATTCAACTGCTAAACGGGAAATGCGATACTAAATGCATGTTTTTCTACAACATAACTTTCTATACCTATGATATGTCCATTGCAGTCAACTCTCATGCATTTCCTTTATAGAAAGCAGTCATGTTTGACCAGTCAAAACAAAAAGGTAAATGAAGTAATAAATCTGAAAGGGTTTACCAACTCTCTACGGGGTATTAAGTTAAGTAAAACATCTCAATATTTTTTACTCAAATGTCAATTAACAGTATTATGATGATGAAGTTAGTAGTTACCTTATTTTGATACATTTAAATAGGCACTAATTACTTTTGTTTGAAAATGAGATGACAATCTTTCTCTGTTTAACTTAATGACTAAACCTTAAAAATTCTAAAACACTTATTCTTTTGTTTTAGAGATCATAAAAAAGAAGCAAAGAGAGGGAAACCATCAGAGTGCTGTCTTGAAGTGTTAAGAACTACATATGATGAAAACTTGGGCTTTGCATTCACTGAGTTTATATTTATTACTGCAAAGCTGCTTAGAAATGAAGGCTTCCAGAAGCTGGAGATTTAGCTCAGTGGCATAATGCCTGCCCTGCAAGCAGGCAGTCGTGTGTTCAATCCCTGGTACTGATAAAAAGGAAAAAGACAAAAAGACAAAAAAAAAAAAAAAAAAAAAAAAAAAAAATGAAAAAAGAAATGAAGCCTTCCAAAGAAATTACACATTTTTTACAAATGAATATTGAAAATGTTGAAACAATGACAAGAGCACAAGGAAAAATAATATACATTCTTCTAGTTCCTGATTAATATTTCCTTTTCTCCATGCCCAGGCAAGAGAAATGCCTAACCACTATATTCCAATGCTGCCTGGCTTCAATAAAGTTGATACAGCAAAGGGTGTGGAGCTTTAGCATGCTTAGAGGAAAAGGCACTGAATTAATGTGAAGACACACTATATAAGAGTAAAAAATTTTATACCAGAAGATCTGGCTTTTTCTGTGTCATTTTTGCTAAGACATACTGTATAGCTACTCAAATAAAGCAACTCCACTAAATTACTGCTTTTAGGTTTGAATCTACAAGAGGATGAACTGCTTTCTTAAGTCCTGGAATAGCCCTTCTATAAGGAACAGAACATCTAAAAATTATTTTCAAAATATGAAGAACAAAAAAATACAATTTTTAGAGAATCAAAAAACTATCCATTAACATACTTCATTCTCTAAACTGCTTTACAGGCTTTTAAAATTACCAACACAGTGCAGATATTTGTCTTTTGAAAAAATAACAGTATAGGTCAAATAAAAATACACAAAATATTTGTTTTATCAATGGAACAAAAATGATCATATAGTAACCAATAAATTTAAGAGGAAATGAGTTCTTAGCATTACACAGGCCTTTACAAAAAGCAACTCATACGCAACAATGACTTCTTGGGGAAAGTTGTTATATATAGCACAACATATTTAACATGAGAATGGAAAAATTCAACAAGAGAAATTAAAATTAAAATGCAAATTGAGTTCCTTAAAATATTCAAGAAATTCTTAAATACTGTAACTACAATTTTTTTGGCTCAAAGAACTCCAGTTACACATTTCCATCAATTCTTTAACAGGTCTTTTTTTCTGCTCAATAATCAATCACAAGATTTACTTGTTTAACATATTTCCCTCAGATCTGGGAAAACTGTGTTGAGTTTTGGAAGAATTATAGCCCTTTGGAAAGCAAATGAATGCAACAAAAGGACTGAGGAAAAAAATCTCTATATGTGTTTGAAAAATTCACGTATCAATTAAACATAGATACACAGACTTTTTCAAAAACAATTGTTTAAATCATTTCGCATCTTACTAGAATACTTGTAGGCAGCTCCCTTTCTAATTTATTTTTTAGATAAAAGCTGAGTATTATATTGTTTTCTACACTTTATATAATCTTATCAATACACTTTTATTCCTACTAGTAATGTGAAAAATCAGCAATAACTAACTTTTTGTGCTACTAGAAATTGAATATACTGAGCTACATCCTCAGCCCTTTTTAAAAACTATTTCATTTTGAGACAGTGCCACTAAATTGTCGAGGCAAGGTTCAAACTTCGGATCCTCCTCCCTCAGCCTCTCAGAGTGCTGGAGTTACAATCATCTGCCTCACATAGGCTAAAAATAACTATTAAAGTTGGAGTTAAACTACACAATAAAGTCAGAAAAAACACAAGTCTTTAAAAAATCTTACCCATTATCCAAAGTGAGGCAATAAAAGGAAGTCTAAACAGAGGGACATGTAAAGACTGCTTTGCTACTGTGAAGAGTACAGAAGACACAAAACTGAATGTTGAGTGGTTTTAAGCTGTTTAAACTTTTCTTACCCACTCTATTTTGAATTACAACCACAAAAGAAATATCAAAATATTTTAGAAAAGAGAAAGTGATATGCAATTTAGCAAAACTCAACTTATTTATAACAGAAAAACCATTTTGAGAACTTTTCTATCGTTCCCAATACTTTCAATTTTTAGACAATCTTAAGGGACTATGAATTTTTAAAAGATCCCTGTAAACATTGAATAACAGATGGTGAGTTAGGAAAGAGAACATGAGGAAATAGGAAAGCAAATTTTAAAAGCTTTCATTCCAGGTCCTATGATCAAAGTACAGAATTAAACGTATCAGAAGAGCTAAAGTAATCTAAGAAAAGCAGAAATGAGTTTCTACATAAATATTTAAACACTGCCTTTTCCCCTACTTACTCTTCAAAACATTAGTTTCTTGCTAGGTAACTGCCTGCTTTATGATATTGCACAGTAGGTTCCTGCAAATGCTTCACACTAGATGCTAAAGCTGAGATTCTAGGTCTTAATGCAGAATATAGCAAACCAGATTTTCACACTCACAAACTTCTGTGATTAGTAACTGCACAGAAAATGCCACCCAACTGAAGGAGGGTAAACATTTTGAGTAGACATTACTGAGTAACATTGTTCAGGCTACTAGCTGAACCAGTCATTCCATTTTCACTTTTCTGAAGTGTTCTCACAGCACTTGGAACCTGCATTCCCGTGCTCAAAGCAAGTCCACCACACCAAACCTAAGAAAAGACAAAAATAAAGCCTCAGTCAGATTTCAAACCACACTGGAATTCCAATGGTTCTTTCTTAAATTTGTTTGAAGGACAAAATGCTAAATATGTGAGTATCAACAATTCCTGATAACCATATTAGAGCTGAGTGAAAGCAGAGGCTAACTCAAGATTCTTGTAGAACCAGAGAGGCCAAAGGAAGTCTGCATGCAATGCAGAGAGGGCACTCAGGCTGCAGAAATTTAGCCTGACCTGTTTTAAATTAGGGGGCAAAAGATATGGCTATCATGAGTGACGCTGACCTTCAAAGTTAAGTCCACATGGAACCAACCTCCTCAACCTAGTTATCACTTTCAGTTTTGACAATAAGATGCAGCCTTTCAGAGAGCCCTTCCTGGACCTCTTTGTGGTCCAGGAAGTTTGTATTTGTAATCCCATGGAAAAGTTATTAGAATTCTAGTGAGTAAAATCCAATCTACTACGTCCATGCAACCTACAGTGGGAAAGACACCAAGGCATATTTACAGTAGTAGAGAGTAAGGGAGTCCTAAGTCCAGGTGGGGCAATGGTTAATTTTTACAGAGGCACTGAAGCAAGGCTGAACCCGAATTTTATTAATTCATGAAGGGAGTGTCTTGAGGAAAAGTGACTGTGAGAATGGCGGAAAGGACATTAGTACTGTGAGCTTGGCTAGGTAGGAGGCCTGAAATCACCTCTGTAATATCTGAGAGGAGGGTACCACAGAAAGAGTACTCTGCATAACACAATTCAAGGTAGTAGCTAATGTTTTGGGATCAATGCTTCTTTTCTGCTCTGTGAAGTCATAGCCTCTTATCTCGAGCCTGATTCTCCTTTCCACCTGACTCACACATATTTTTTGGGAGATATGGGGTGGGGAAACACTGCTCTGTTGCCTTGCTTCAAAGACCACACATCTGCACCTTGGCCAGACCAATTTATATTGCTTAAAGTCAATTGAAGGGATAAGGAAAAATCCTAGCCAGCTCTGTACATATCAATAGATGGAAATGGGGCCAGGTTTAGCCAAAATGGAGACAATTGCTCTTCTTCAAATGAGAGCCATCCAGTTGGTCCTCTACATAGCCTTAGATAATAAGGGCCTAATAAACCTCTATTAACATGGTAAAAACTAAGCTTTTGGTCTATCTTGTTTCCAATAAGAACTCTTACAATACTTTAAGAAGGATTTCCAATGAGGCAAAGGAGAAGAGGAGGAAGAAGAAAAGAAGAAGGAAGAAGAAAGAGGAGGAGGAAGAAGAAGAAGGGGGGAGGAGAGGAGGAGAGGGAAGGAGAGGAGGAGAGGGAAGGAGAGGGGAAATATATACACACATACACACAAAATAGTTAAGATAGTTACACTACTAATTATTAGTTTACTGATAAGAAAGGTTTGTGCTAATATTGTTTGGAGACTTTGAAATTTTATTTTTTTTCTCTTTAAAATAAAAAAGGATTGCCAAAACAACACAAATGGCATCATTTAGCTGTCCTTGCTATGATCTATTAATTACTAATATGAACAAGTTTATGAAAGATAAATCAGCTTTGCTTGTGAAACAGAACACCATGATTAAGGAAACAGCAGAGTCAAATGACTTAAAAGTATCAAAATATAGCACATGTAAGCTTAAAACACAGGAAATTCTGGTATTTTCACTTTTAATTATATTTGAAGCGTTCAATATTTGCTAATAGAATATTATACCAAAAACTCTGCTGACCTGTGAACAAAACTGTATAAATTAACATTTAAAAATTTCAACACCAGCAGGCTCAATAATGATAAACTCTCAAGGTATAAAAGCAATTCAAGTTATAAAATTGCTACCAGTAGATTATCTTTTTCTTAATAAAATGTTGAAAAGATTAAGAAAAATATCAATTTAAGTAAATGGTGTTAGAAGAATTAGATATCCAATGTATAAAAACAAAAACAATGAAAACGAAAAAACCCTAAAGCCCATGATATCCAAAAAGTTAACTCAAAATGGATCAGACTTAAAACTATAAACCTTCAAGAAGAAATGAGAGAAAATCCTTGTGACCATAAATGTGAAAAAAGTAAAAAATTTAGACTTCATATCAAAATGAAAAACTTTACTTTGAATTATTTAGAAAGCAAAAAGACAAGTCACAATCTCATGCAAAATATCCTTAAAACACATATGTCATAAAGAATTTGCATTCAAAGTTTCAAAAAAGTTGTAAAACTCAGTAATAAGAAACTAACACTCTAAAAACTAGAGGGATTTTAACATACTTCACTAAAGAAATTATACACATGAAAAACAAGCACATGAAAAGATGTACGACATTGTTTATCATTACAAAAGCGCAAATGATAACAGTAAAACACTGTTATTCACCTATTAAAATGACTTAAGAACAAGAAAAATCTAGCAATATCAAATGTGCAAGGATGTAATAAACTCTCATATAGTGCTAGTAGTAATGCAAAAAATGGCAGAATAATTTTGGGAACATTTTTATATAAAGCTAAACATAAATTTTTAATGTAATCCAGCAACCCTACCCAAGAAAAAAGAAATCATATTTGTTCACACAAAAACTCATCTCATGTGAATGTTGATAATGGCTTTATTCGTAATTGCCCTAAACTGGAAAGAACCCAAATGTTCTTCAACTGGTAATCAATGGATAAACTGTGGTACATACATGTAGGAAACACCACTCAGTAGTAAAAAAGAGAACACTGACACACACAATATGAATTAATTTCAAATATATTGTGCTACACAATCAAAAGGCTATCTACTACACCACTGATAGGACATTCTGTAAAAGGCACAACTTCAATTGCTAACAGCAGTTTACCAAATGGTAGGTTTGAAAGTGATGATAGGGTACCAGTACAAAGGACCAGGAAGGAATTTTCTAGGGTATTGGAAAGGTGTATCCTGACTATGGTGCTATGTCTACAATTGTAGGCATTTTTCAAATGCAATACTTAAAACAAAAGAAAGATGCAATACTTAAAAATTAAACTTGTGGGGCTGGCGATGTGGCTCAGTGGTAGAACTTTTGCCTTCCATGTCAGGCCTTGGGTTCAATACCCAGCATCACCAAAAAAAAAAGATTAAACTTATAAACAACAAATTAACATTCATTTACTTAACAAAAGTAAACCTTCAATGAAGGCAAAAGTTTAGTAAGTTTAAAATAATTTCCTAGAGTATCTTTTTTTTGGGGGGGGGGGGAGTTGAATTCAAGACCTTGTACTTGCCAGGCAGGCGCTTATACTGCTGAGCTAACTCCCCAGCCCTCCTCAAGTATCATATGACACTAACGTTTCATTATGGTTTCACCATGAGATTGATTCAAACTGAAATATGAACCTTTTTAACTAAGAACTGGAAATAACACTCTTTTTACTGACATATGATAAATACTTAAGAGTCTGATTGGCCAATTTGAAAAAACAGCCAAAACTATGTTACACAGAAGAGGTGTATGCTGAAGCATGAAAAAAACAAATAGCCCTTTCAGTATTTTAAAGTGTTTTTCCTAAAGCAACAACTTTATTCACTAATTATTTTTATCTTTATAATGAAAAACTAGGAGTCTTGGTTATTATCATTGTTTTAAGCTTAAGATTTTAGGGTCCATAGAATAGGAAATTATCACTGAGAGATTTAAAAGCACTGTATTTTAAATCCACATTTATCCTGAATACCTCCTCCTCATACTGGGGGATTACACTTCAGTGGAAGAACATACCTACAAAACAGTCCACAGAGTCCACACCTGAAATATACCATCCTGATTTGCAGAGTTAACTCCCAAATTAAGGAAAGGTCTAGCCAAAATAATGGTGACTTAGCTAGATCAAGAACTACCCACAGTAGCCCAGCTTTATAGAGACATGTAAAAGGTTAAGGCACTGGGACCAGAAATATCATTTGTTTTAAGAAATTAATTCAAAATCATGCTTCATTTTGTGTTGAGAAATGTGAACTTTTTTCTATAAACCAGCTTGCAAGTGAGTAGACCTTTTTAAAATTATGTATGTGTCTATATAGCCCCCACATGAAAACTACCCACAGATCCAAATAAATGAGAATGGATACACTGTGAAATAATCATAGAAAACTACACAGCTACAGAATGAAAGAACTATAGTGACAGAATATAGATATGTCTGACAATGCTAAGCTAAAAAGATAGTGTCTGATTCCACTGATCTAAAATTGACCAAGAAGCACAGTGAATTTATAGTATTAAGATAGTGGTTCCCCTTTGGAGAAAAGCCATCAAATATTGGAAACGTGCAAGGAGCTCCTAGATGCTGGCAATGTCCCATTTCTTCTTACAAGTGCTAGTTTCAAAAGTGAGTGCAATCTTGTGGAAATTCATCAAATCACATGCTTATCATTTGTGTACACTTATGTATTATATTAATACTGACTTCAGTGAAATATCCAAAAATATGCAGAAAATCACAAATTTTGGAGAGGGTGGACTGGGGAAAGAGAATGGATAAGCACAAAAAATAAGATAATCTAATTCTCCAAACAATACAGCACAGATTATTCTCCTCAAAGTTACCATGCCAAATAAAATATAAGTTAGTTACTAACCATGAAACCAGGTAGTACTGGCTGAGTGAATTTTGTCTTAAAGGAATATAGCAATTGTTTTGAGTCTGCATCATAGAAAGAAAGTTGACCTAAAAGGAAGGGAGAAAAAAAACTCTATTTTACAAAGAACTGTAACATCTTACCAATTCTAACAGATTATCCTGCAAAAAACGTAGGACATAGTTTGGCATTAATTTTTGCACTCTGAGACAATAATGCTAAGTGAAAAGAGACACAGCTTAAATATTGCATGGTTTCTC